AACCAAGACGGCTTTATAAAAATTTATAGAACTACCCTACATATAGAGTTTGTTATCCTGATGTTTCCCATTCACATACACAAGCACAGAGGAAAGCTGAGATATATGAGGAGTGCCTCTGTTGTTAGCTAAAGAGAAAAAGAAAACGTCCTAAGACAAACAATGGTTTACCATCGGGTAACACAATACGCTGTGTCTGCGGCTTTGCTTTGAAGGGATAGGGCCTGTCGCTCCTGGAATACCTGGGCACATGAGCTAACGGACGACATGTGCAGAGAAGCCGGGGAGCGACAATGATAGGCAGTCAGCGAATGGCAACCCCTTCTACACGCGACACGCTACGCTCCACCTCGTTGCTAATTAAGCAAGGACGTATGCTTTGACCCACGGCCCCTACATCTAACACACAAAGCACTTTTACAAATAATAATAAGGTTACATTTAAAATTTAAATATTTATTCCCCAAATTTAGAATCCTGTATAGTTAATCTTCATGTAAGCTAACATGAGTTTCCGATGATCTCACTGACAAATTCAAAACTGGGCCAGTGCAGATTTTTGTTATATGATGGGTGCATCAGCCTAAGCAACGTAAAGTGAATGAAAACTGGTCAGATATTTCAACAGTCAACGACTGAGAAATTCGTTGGGCCTGAGAAAAGGCATTACAAAGTCACACGGAGGACATGATGTCCCATTGTGTTAAAGTGATGTAAATGTTTTGCATGTACTCCAGTTATATAGACACTGCCAACGGCTGATAGGGTAGCCTATCATACACGCAGCAACCGGTGAGGTCCGAATTTACATCTATATATAAGATATAAATAATTATAATATTAATATTATATATATAAATATTATATAGTGAAAAGTGAGTATATGAGGGATATAATATTATATTATATAATAATAATAATAATAATAATATCTAAAGAGTCTCATATTGGCACTCGCAAGACAATTCCACTTTTAGCTCAAAGTGGAGAAAAATGTCAGCCCTGTACCTTGCAAGTGCATACCTGGCTACTCACGCAACGTGGACAAACCCTGTCCACTCATGAGTCATAGAGAACAAAGACTGAAATGAGAGAGGGCAAAGTCTGCATCTATATACCACCTAGGAACTGAGTATGTTGGCTAATACTAAGTCACACAACAGTGGTTCATATATGTTATCAAGGACCAACTGAGTCAAGACTTTTGTGGCCTGATTCATTGTCATTGAACAATTATAAGTCTGTATAATTACCTTAAGAGTACAACAGTGAACAACTAAAAATGGAGCACAGACTTTGTTATTATTCCTATCGCAGTCACACAGTTCCTTTATGCAACGAGGTTGGCACAGTGTCATTATGTGTTGTTTATGTTGACTACAGTTAAAAGAAAATCACCTACCACACAAGCTTGATTAGTTACAGTCAGATGGTTGAGAAAGCCCTCTTTGCTTTATTTATTCTTTAGAATGACGTTTGCACAAAAAAGTATTTTTTGAGAAGAGAAAAATATTCCTCTGCCAGGTATCTATACCAGGTTCCTGTTTCAGTGTCAAATGCACAATAATTCCTACAATCTGTAATTAAGAGACTTGTTGCTTTAGCAAAGCTATTCTTAAAACTTGAGAATAGAAATAGGTTAGCACTACTGGAGCTGGATTATATCAGCTGAACAAACCTATTCACTGTAATCACTGAGTAAACTGCAGAGGGCCCAAATGCAAGCACCATTGTGGTTCAATAATAAATTACAGTCACTTCTGCTTTTGTGGACAAATGTAAAATCAAAGGGTATTTAAAATAAAATATAAATCAAATGGATGTTTTAATCATTAAGTTATCCTTTATTTGGGGCCCAAACTATTTCAAGTGTAAAAATTGTTTTTATCTTAAAATAGCCATTATTAAAGGAAACAGCTGATTTTGAACGTTTGTAGAGTTCTATGTTTTTCTGTAGCTGTATGTCCATACACTCGCTTGCCTTTGGTTGTCATACACTCACAGCTGTTACACTTTATCATTTTTATCTCTGTTTGCTGATATGAAAAACCATGGTTCTGTTTCCTCGCCAGCCTGGATGTCTGATCATGTGGTCACCAGTGGACTGCGGGCCTGGCTGCGTGTGGTCCTGAAGGTGAATGACATCTGACAGGAAAGCTGACCAATGCTCTGGACTTTTTCTCACTAATGCTGAGTAGACACAAAGCTAATGTAACTGTATATAGATAGATACATATATATATAGATATATAGATAGATAGATAGATAGATAGCGAGTTTTAATATGTATGAATTGATTTGTAGTTATTGTTAGTAGCTGTGACCTCTGTTAATGTCATTAACATCAAACTCAAGCACAGAATGAGTCAGCTGGTGATCAATCATCATTATAAAAAAGGATTGATACATTAGGGCTGGATATACTCCATATTTTAAGCTATGCTGTCACTGTTTTAATTAAGCTTGGATGGTGGTTTGTAGCATGTTTTTCTATATTTCTCATTTAGATTTTAAGCACTATATTATGTGTGAGTCTGTGTGAGCTTTGAGTTTTCACTTTGGGGGCAATTAAATTAAAGTTGAACACTGAAGCTAACTCAAATGCTAATGTTTTCCTTGGGTCATGTCGGTGAATAAGCCATAGCTAAAGATCACAACAAGCTCGGAATAAATGGCCAATTTTCATCTTATAAGTAACTGACAGTCCAGTTAAACAAGTTGACAAGTCGAGCCTGTGTTGGCCTCTCAAGGAAACCTTCACAAACCACGTATGAGTCAGTTATTATGGTGAGAAAGACCTCCAAGCACATTAGCTTCACTAACTTTAGCTCCCAGGTTAGCCACTAGAAGCTAACACATCTGGGTGCGGCGATGACTGAGCTACTTTACCGCCACAGGTGAGACGGTTGCTCTGGCCGTCAGCATTAAGGCAGCTCGTCCAGGTGTGTTATAAAAGGAGGTCTGTGTTGTTTTTTACCTGAGGAGAATCTCCAGGGAGCTCTCGTGTTTGTCTAGCGGCCTTCCCAGCGCGTTTCTGCGGAGCTTGTTCAACTCCTCCACGGCGCGGATGTACTCCCCCTGCTCGTCGCCCGCTGGGTACGTAGCGGTCACAAACTTCGACAGCGGCTTCACCAGATCAACTTCAGAGGACTTTTTTAACGGGACTGAAATAAACGTTGCCATTTCGGCCCGTAAGAGCGACTTATTCTGTCAGAAAGAAACACGGAGACGAGTCGCGACCAACGAACACAAACAACAACGAGCGACCCACTTCCTGGATTCTGACAGGGGACGTCAGATTACGTCATGTTGAACGGAGAGGCGTACTGCGCAGAATCAGTATCGTTTTAATGAGGAATAACTAGAGTGCAGGAAAATTGGCTCCGTTTGTTTACGGCCACACTCTTTTAAATCCACCACGAACAGATTAACCTACTGGGGACCCCAAGGGCAAAAATTAGCTGTCTATAAACACTCTCCATTTTTTACAGTATTCCTGTACCAGAATATGCCCTTGGTTTGCTGTGAGGTAATCTAATTGAACACAAATAATTATACAATTAGACAATATGTACCATATTAGCACAATATTCCCACAGAGTGTTCAAATTAAAAAGATTTAACTACTAAAATATGAAATATATAACCATGGAATTGTGGAATAGTTCAGGATAATTATTTTTTAAAATCTACTTATGATAAGTAATGCTATTTCATTCTGGTTAGTTTTACAATAGTTGAGTTTATTTAAGGTATTTTTGATTAATAATTTTTTATTTAGATGTCGATACCCATATGTGTTCTCCATGCCCCGTTTCAATTTCACAGCATATTTGTGAGCACACAATACAGTGCCTATATGAAATATTCACCACCCTGGGAAGTTTTCATGTACTTTTATTATATTGTTCGTTAGTAGTGCATATTCATATTCTCCCAAACAAAGTGAAAACATCTCTTTAATTAATCAAATTGCCTCAAACCAGCTGCTACATGGTGAACATGGGATTTTAGGGGCCCAGTTGGAAATCAAGCAATATGCACCACATAAGCACAATATATGTAGACATGTAGTTATGACTGTTGAAGTAGATGGAAAATCAAGAAGGTTATAATGTTAAAGCAACTGGGTCACCTGTACACATACACTCATTGACACACCCTTTGAGACATTCAGGTGTGAACTACCAGCTGTTTTCCATCCACAAGGATGCAGATAAATTGCTAGTTTTCTGTCCTGTCTGGTAATTGATTGCAGCAGCAGTATTCACACTCTCTCCCAGATGTGCTTCAGCCTCTGACACAATGGCTAGAGGGAAATTAGCATGATTCTGGGTCATCTGCTTTGGGAAACCTTTGGCAGGTGTTTTGTGCTCAACAAACTATATGAGTCACTTCAGAGTAATCTCATTGTCGTGCAACACAAGGCCACACGACACCACAAGAGACAGTTGTTCATCGTGCCTTAGGTACGTCCAAATATGATTGTCCTGCATAACCAATGAAAATGAATGCTTTTACTGAATGTCCGAAAAGTACTAAGAGCACTACTCAACCTGTGAAAACAGTTGTACAATGTCTGGCTTTAAAGGAGCTCCAAGGCAATCATATTTATAATAGAAACCTTACAAAACAGGCATATGCAGTTTAAAAATCATGGGTGTTAACCAGAACCGGTTTAGCACGTCACTCATACTAGAGATAAAAGTCAACATCTCACCCTCTACTGCTTCAACTTTAACTTTTTAAATCTGTCACTTACGAGTTACCCCACTTCATGAAACTTAGTACCCATTTAAAACTATGACAGTCATGCCCTTTCATCTCTATGCTACAGTTAAAAGTCAGGTCATATATAAAATGTAAAACTGTAACAGTGTTCGCTACCATGATGACGCAGGACACCAGAGAAAGTTATGAAATCATTTATTCCCAGCACATGTGGTTGTGTACATCCCCAGCATACGATACTGTGCACACGAGAAGCATCATCATTGACAATAGGCTGTACATGAACGGTGGTCACCTCTCCTGCTCACGCTCACTCTCTCTCGCTCTCTCACACACGCACACACACACTCAGTCACACAGACAGACGGACGACTGGTCAGGCCGAAGGGGGACCAAACCTGCTCACCAGAGTTTGCCCGACTTGGTATCACATCCGCTCCGATACTAATTTTTGAGTCGATGGACACAGTGTACTGTGCTGTGGTACTCATGTCCTTGTAAACACCACAAGAGCTACAGTCCTGGCTCTGGCGCATGGTGAGACAAAATCACAGACGCTTTTTAGTCTCTACAGTCTTTTTCTTTTGTTCTCCTCCTTATAGGCGGATAAGAATAGGGTGTGGCTGAAGGACTACTGACTACACATCAAGCTTGAGTTTGTGATTTTTCAGTGCAGACTTGGTCTCTAACATCTGGAAGAAGAAGGAGGTGTTACACTCACCAAGAACCAAATTTATCCCTCCCTCCCTCCCCCATCTTCCCACATGCTCTTTACTAAACAGCAAGCTAAACACAGTTTCTTCATACCAACAGGAAAAAGTTTATGACAACTACTGACATAATTAGGTTTTCTTTGCAAGAACGAAAAATGATACACATGCACACACACACACGCACACACCACCTGACACTTAGAGGGGTGCAAACTGTATGCACTTTGCCAGACATTGTGCACCAAAATCAAAGGAGGTCAACTAAACAAACAGCGACTCCCAGGACCTGTGTGAGACTTTGTCACTTTTCAAAGGTAAGGGCACTCAAAACATGTGACCTGTAATTCCTGTGTTCAGCTACATTAAAAACACAAGATTTTGAAGATGGACGTGGAGCTGCCATGATTTTCTAGTCTACAGGATAAGACTATTGAAACCAGGCTACCGCAGTGATACATTTCTGCCAGCCTGCTGTGTGTTGGGCTGTTTCTTGCAGAGCAGATCCTGGAATGGAGGGTTTATTATTAAGCACATGCTGCAAACAAGCAACTCCACTAGATGAGGGTTTCATTTACCATTTGATCAATTTTACAAATGCTTCTAGTGAGTAATGAAGATTTTCCTCAAAAAGTGCCCATCAATCTGAAACCCGTTTGGTCCACATTATAGTAGGTTTTTGGATAGGCGTTACTGCTCCACATATCAGTCATCTATAGAGGTTTGTTCCTCTTTTTATTTTGCAAGTTTATGGCCAATATCCCAGAAGGCGTAAACCGCATCCCTCTAAATCAGTGTTTCAAAGTCAGCACAGAAAGCAGAGGAGTCAAAGAAGAGGTGTGTGTGCACTGTGTTTTGTGAATGGGACTAAAATATTGTGTTAAAAAGCCAATATGGCACCAGAAACAAGTAAATTCAATGAGCGCGAGAGAAACAACTGATCCATAAATAAAGCATTAACTAAAAATGGTAAAAGCGCCAGCCAAACAGGACGTACGCTAGGAGAGTGTGACGTGGCGTCAACAGAGAGAGATATGGCTGGAAGTCTAAAATCACATGGGATGACTGTAGTGACAAAAGTTAATGAAATCCGTTCATCTGACAAAGTCAGAGGAAAAAAAAACCTGAATGTTGGTGTCAACATCCATAAATGAGGCCACTTCCACAAATTTTGCCAGGGTATTTCAGAGGTTATCAAGCTCAGCTGATCAATAAATGGTTTATCTAGACAACCCTGTCAAGAATGTTAAATAAGCAGAGTAAATTGGGATTTTTCCTTTAAGCAAGTTAGTATGTTGAGATTGCATGCTGTTCAGCAGTACAGGTTATCAAATACTGGCCTAGTGCTGGTTGTGCGCGTTGTGTAAGAAGGGCAACGAGCAATAAGGAAACTCTGCTTTCTTTCCTTCACCTGAAGGCCAGAATGTCACTCTCCCCTCTCTCTTGGAGCCTCCCCCTCCCTTCTCCAACAGAAACCATATAAAAGACAAAAAATAAAATAATAAAATCAAAATACATACAACATCATTTTCTTTCCCCCCAACCCCATATCCCTCCAGTCTCTCCTCTTTTAACTAGCCTCCTCCGTTAATAGTGTTTTCAATATGAAACAGTGGACACACCCATGTCAGATTCTAACATTTACATGGCTTTAGCGCAGTCTCTGCTTTCCATCGAGCGAGCGTTTAGAGAGAACGGGAGGAAGTACGAGGAAAGAGTGGAGGCAGGCAGAGAGGGACAGAGGGAGGCTTCTGCTCCAAAACAGAGGGTGGAGTATTAGTGATGCCATCTGTCCTCCTCACTACTTTAGAATTAGATGGAGTCCTTCGCCCAGTTCATCTGGAGAGGGAGACAAGTGTGATGAAAGAGAAGTACATTAAATCATTGTCAAATAAGATCAACTAAGCCTCGGTATAGGCCAAATTACAATGCAAGAGATTATCAGCTACAGGTGCATCGTGGGCTCACCTTTGACAGTGCTGATCAAAAAACAGCTCTCGTCAGGCAAGTTGTAAACCATCTGGAACAGACAAAATGGACATGGTGAAATCAAATATCCCTTTGTATTTTTTGTGGCGACATTAACTAGAGACCATTCTGAGTTAGGAGAGGAGGTACAATACAGTACAGTATGTGTGAGAATGTAAATGACATGGAAATAAGTGAAGCTACAGACAGTAGACTTCCTGTTCTTGGTCAGATAGCACATAAAATAGTGACGCACGTCTTTTTTTCCTATTATCTTCCTCTGTACAGAGTGAATGAATCTCAGTTCCAGTCCTGCCACTTACTCTTACTCCACTTACTTCAACTCAGCTTCAACAGTTTACCTTTTTAATTATACCATCCCTCTTAATAAAGAGCCCTCCACAGCAGAGAGTGTGAGAGAAGAAGTGCTGCATGTCTGCGTGTGTTGGTACCTGGTCGCTGAGCAGGATGTGTATGCCTGTAGGACCCTGTCTGTACACCTGGTTGATCGTTCCCAGTGGAAGGTTGCACACACACGCCATCTTGCGGATCAGTTCTGCTGCTGTGAGCTCCTCTAGGTACAGAGCATGATACACTACACAGAAACAGACCAGAACAGAGGTTTTACACTCATGTTATTGTTATATTGTGTTGTATCATGTATTATTGACACACTGCGACACATTGATATTAGTGTTATATTGCCGTTAAAACACAGAGCTTGCTTACCGTGTAAACTAGAGGAAATGCTGTGTTCTCCGTTTTCACTGGTGCCGTGTCTTTCCAGCAGGGGGCTCTCCCGATGGGACTCCTGACAGACGTACACCGTCAGCCTGGGACGCACTGACCTACACACACGCACAATAATGATTAATGGAATGAAAAACACTGGCACCATCACAATGCTCACTCAGGTGTACGCAACGTCAAAAACAGACACTCAAACTCTTTGTAACATACCTGGATTTAAGTGCATTGAAGAGTCTGATCCCATCTGCTGGCCCACAAATCTGGACCAGGTCGTCCCGGGTTAGCTTCAACAAATCAGAACCTACCCAACAAGTTAGGAGGACCAGTCACTTCTACTGTAGTTGTTAAAACATTACATCTATGATTGTGTGTGTTTGACAGAGTGTGTGTACCTGAGAAGTGAGAGAAGAGTCGTGTGTAGGAGTTGAAGCGATTTTTCAGGAGCCACTTTTGTGCATCCTGTATGGAGGCAGTGGGGCTCAGCTGCTGCAGGGGATTAACACACACACAGTGTCAACACACAGTTTTACTTTCCCCACTAATTCAGTCCATTGAGCAATTATACAATACACTGCCACTGATCTACCAATTCTTTTCTATTACTCATTATGCTGCATTTACATGGAATCAGGCAGTAGACAACAAACCCAATGTCATGTTAGTTGATGAAAGCAGGACGGTAAACTTAAGTGAGGCTGGCAATACTAATATTTGACCTTTTTGTTGTTCACTGCAACAGTATTTAATACTGGATGTTACGTAGCTGCCTCACAGAAGGAGAAAACATGGACAGTCTGGATAACAAGATGCTAATAATTTATAAATTACATAAAATATAAAATTATTAAATATATTTTATTCCATAGCATCATGTCATGCGTGTTTCGTTTTGCCGTCTTGCCGCTCTGTCAGACAGTTTGTTTATTTTTCCTGTGAGGAAGAAGCTGTCTGTCTGCCATATATCCATGAGAATGCAGCATAAAGTATATAAAATGTCAAATAATCAAAGTCAACATCTAAATTAATGTCAGGCTGCTTATTTTGTCAGACCAATACAACCCCCCCTAAAAGTATCCAATAGTCATACCAAAATTCAAATTTGGGAACAGAAAATTATTTTCACTGGTTAGATGACTTAAAGAACCAGTGTGTAGAATTTAGTGGCATCTAATGGTAGAAAGTAGCAGATTGCAACCATCTAAATACTGCTCAGTCTTACAAGCGTGTAAGAGAAATTGCGATGCCTGTGAAAAGGCCCTATCTAGAGCCAGTGTTTGGTTCGTCTGTTCTGGTTCTTGTTTTTTCAGCCGATTACACAATAATAAAAACGCATACCTATAAATATTATATTCCATTTCTGCCAATAGATTTCCTAAATGTTACACACTGGACCTTTACAGCATAAAATCATAACTATCAGTGTATCTATCACTCATTCAGTAACATTAAATTAAAATGTATGATATTCCACTTTAAAAGTGTCATAACATTACATGTTACAACAGGAATATTAGCATTAAAAAACAGCATATAAACAAAAACAGTGGGACAATAAAATGCTTAGTCACTTATAACATATTGAAACTAAGATACAGCAGCAGTGTGAATGACTGAAGTAGGGTAATAATAATAATATTATTCACAGAAAACATTTTGACACACAACATACAAATGAAATTAAGCCATTGGTAATTTATTATTAACACCTGTGTTTCTCCGTCAGTGACATGAAACTGGTTTTCCACCAGTTCGTACAGGTGAGAAGATTGCAGACTAACCTCCGAGTTGCCATGGCTGCCAGGGTCGGCCTGGTGATTGGGTGAGGACGAGTCACTACAACACAAGAAACGACAATTAAGAGACGTGAGACCAACACACACCAGTTAAGAACCCCCCCCTCACACACAGAAACACACACACTTACCTGTCCGGTACTGAAGAGGTTGCGTAGGTGGACAGTGGGGTGGAGGTGAAGGAGGGAGTAGCTGCCTGGTTGGTGCTGACGTAGGCGTTGTCTGGCCAAGGGGAGCACTGGGAGGAGACACATACATGTAAATACACAGTTAATGAAGCTTACTGGGTTAATTAGCACTGCAGGCTCCAACAATAACAAACAAAAAGGGCACAAAGGTAGAGGAAAAGTCAAAGGTGGACTGGGAATTTAGCTTTGCACCGTCTCCACCCCCCCTAATGTCAGATACATGGCATTAAAACATCTCCTTCCCAGCAGCTGAGGGTCTACAATCTTCAGACTACAGCCGGGTGTCTACGGGGGGGGGCAGACTGTGGATGGAGTTACGGGGGAGGAGGAGTGGAGGAGAGTAGTGCAGGGTGCTTACACTGCCTCTCTTGGCCAGGGAGTCGCCACAGTCAGCGGGAAGTGTCCGCTTGCTGGACTTTTTCAGCTCGTGGTCACCCGCATCCTCTATGATGGGTTCAAGCCTCGTCTGCATACAGACACACAGCAGAGGTTAGCCAGCCAGCGACCAACACAAAAACACAACCAATAACTTTGGAACACACTCAGAATGAGTGACCTGAAGGCAGTCTGAGTGTTAACATGTTCAATTACTGCTCGGCTAACTGACCTCTGAGACACAGAAAACATTCTAATGGATAATACAATAGACCACTGGTTGTTATATTTTAGCTCATATTTTACAAACTGTGCAGGGTTTCCTGTGTGAAAGTGAGCCACCTCACATAACACAAAGACTACCTTTTGCTAAATTCATAGAAATTAATGCAGTTTTCTGAAATACAACATTAGCAAAAAAAAAAGAGCAGATGCTATTTCAAACTGCAAATGCCAAATGTTTATTGACTGTGCATTGTTTAGGCTGTCCTCCACAAAATAAACTGATCATGAGACGAGATGCGTCAGAATCCAGGTGACTTACTATCTTAGCTAAACAATTTACAGTACTCTGGGAAACCCTGTTGTGCATGTTATCATTACTGCCAACCAGTTTCCAAAGCACACCCAGCACCATTCTGTCTTCCAAGCAGCCATTGGTTTCAGTTCCTACAGAATTAAAACTTGCCGTCACCTTGACTGTTCTGCCTGGTTGTATCATCACCATATTTTGATGCACTGCAGGTGAAGAGCAGATTGTTCTAAAACCTTTCTAAAAACCTTTTCTGTAGTGGTTTATTGATGTGCCTGTGAGACGCTGTGCTATCTAACATCTGTGTGTCAGATGGCAAACAGCATCTTAATTCAAGCTAGATGTTGTTAGTGAAAAATCCAAAGCCAGAAAACAGAAAACAATCAGACAACGTGGCAAAGGAACAGGGATCATGTGAATTTGGTAGCTCCTTGCATTAAAAATGACTGCTGTTCAGTAGTATTTTCTTTTGAAGACTCGACTGTCAAAATGGATTAATCAAATATTTTTTATTTAATTTTGATGGATAATAGTTTGTGTCAGTTATTGAGCAAAAAATAAATAAAAAAGTCTCTGGTTCCAGCTTTTCAAATGTGCTGCTTTTCTCTTCTTTATATCATTATAAACTCAGTACTTGGGTCTGATTGACTATTGTTTAGACAAAAAAAGCAATTTAAGCACGTTACCTTGGTTTCTGAGACAATAATTGTTAGTCACAGCCCTACAATGGCTGTCTGGATGGCAAGAAAAAAAAAAGGAATTGATTTATACATTCTTGAGAAAATGGTTGGCAGTGATGTAGCCGTTTGTTGCACACAGGCTAAAACACCAGTATGGCCCTTTCCCTCAAATATAGCCATGTACTGGGCCACTTTGCAGAAATACATTCAACTGAATTGGGTGCATACATTTTAACATGGATAGACCCCTAAATGAAAGCTGAAACTAGAAGCTTTGTTAGCCACGTAGTAGTAAGACCTGACAGTCCTTGAGCAGCTGCATACTGACCTCTGACAGGATAGTGGTATCATAAGAAGGCTGGTACTTTTCCTTCTCTTGCGGTGTGCGTTTCTCCATCTTCTCCCTGTCTGTCTTTTGCTTACGATCTGCCCCCTTTGGCTAAACAGGAAGCAGAGAAGAAGACTCAGATTTAATTGCCGTGAGGGCCGACACATGAGGTAAAACCTCTGCCCTGTGAGAGAATGAGTGTGTACCTTAAAGACTTTGATTTGGCAGGAGGCAGAGTGGAGGTGCTCTGTGTACTCTCCACTATCTCCCTGGGCGAACGTGTCAAACTGGATCCTGAAGGGGACACCCTTCTCTCCACCGTGCTTCCTGGGAGTGAACTCTGTGCTGATGCAGTGCACCTGCAGACAGCGCAGAGACGAGTGTATGAGTGTGATCAAAATATGCGTTTGATGTGGAAATTCAGTGGCACGCCCAACAGATGGTACGAAAGAGAGCTGATGTCTGTGTGTGTGTGGTTTATGTGAGTGAGGGTGTGTGTGTGTGTGTGTGTGTGTGGGGGGGGTTACCTGCACAAAAACAGAAGTTCTTTTGTTCATGTCCCACAGGAACTCTGCAGCGTTAAGCTGGGAGGGGTGAGTCTTCGGCTCCACAATGCCCACTGACATGGGGATATCTGTCAAACACACAAACACACAGATATTTGAACTCCAAAATCACACACGGGACGGTTAAAGTAAACATTTCTTGCCAGGCATCATTACCGATGTCAAGGAGACGGTCACCAGGACGATTCCACTTCCAGCCTTCTAGCTGCTGGTGCTCTGTGTACTGCAGCCGGCGGTCATGAAACACCACTCGCACTATGCTCTACACACAAACACACACACACACACAGAGTCAGGTAAGAAGTTTACTTAAGAAGTAAGAAGTAAAAGTTCCCCCCTCCAGTTGTCCTCCAGCAGTGAGGATCCTCTCACCTTCACCATCTTGTTGTTGAGCTCTGGTAACTCCCCTGGCTTCCTGTTGTCCAACATACGCACCTCGTAAGACTGGCCTAAGAGAGAGATTGCAAGATTAAAATAGAAGTAACAAACATGATGGGTGAGGTTCCAAAACAAACTAAGACAGCGGTCCTCAAAGAGGATAGGTTACTGTTGTTACCTAATTTAGGTAGGACTAAAAGTCCATTTTAGGTTGTATCACTCATTATATGGTTTATAGGCTATATTTTTTTGTAAAATGTTGGTCTCTAGTGACATCTTTTGTTTAGATGATTATTAAAGGCTTGAGTTGACTGTAATAATTAAAAGGCCTCTCTGTGGCAGAGCTCTAGGTTTCCAATGCAGTGCTGCAGTGTTTTACCTAAAGGCCCCTTTACATTGTAATTATGGGCTGTCCCAGTCAGACAACTGGAGAGAAATGTGGCTTGTAAAGCTGCACAAGATCAGCATTTCATGTTGCCCCCTTTACTGTGGTCTTGATCGCCTTCACTATCTCCTCCTCTTCTGAGGTTTGCCAATTGCCAACACTATGGCCAAAGCTTGTTTATTGTTTCACTACATTTTCAAAATATGAGGGTGGTGCAGATGCAAGTTGATGCCATATCTCTTCTCACATCTTTTTTTCTGCACCATTTACATCCTAGAGCTACAGATATTCATCGCGCCTGACATGTCTGATAATATAGTCTGACACCGATTGTGACCAAGACTTCATTAGATCCATCATGCTGTGAACTTGTTTTCATTGTTGTAATTGCAGTGTACAGAAAACTAAAAATGTAGTAAGGTAAAGGCCCGTATTGTTTGTTGAATGCCATCATGGTTTTCAGGTGAACACAGAGGTATTTTAATCAGGTTCAAACCACGTCAATGAAACGCAACAGTAAACACTGGCATCCCAGAACCATCCCCCTCTCTGATTTGACTACACAGTAAGTATACATAGAGTACACTTAGTCCACAACATGCTAACCAATTATTTGCCAGCCAAGTGCATCTGGACACGGGTGACCAGACCATTTTCAGACCACTCAGCTGTTTAGAAAATGTTTTGCATCAGCAAATAATAAAGTTGCGTTTTAGCTCCAACTCTGTATACTTCCACATTTCCACTTTTATGCATGAATTCTTTTAAATCCTCAGTAATTCCCCAAAAACCCGGCAGCTTCTGTCTTGCAGTAAAGCATATAGAGACAACAGTTCACATATGTTGCTGCTTCTCGTTAAGAAAAGGCTGTTTCGCTTGTTCCTCCATTTATGTTAATCCCTTTACAATGTTAAATAAAGTCAATCTCCATTTGTCCCATTAAGCAGTGGAGCAGATTCAACACCAAACTGGTGGTGCGTAACATCAAAGTGCTGAGCAAAGCTATGGTTTCATTTTACAGTAATTATACTAATGTGCAATAAATTAATGTAGTAATTATTTATTGATGTTAAAGTTTTAATAGTCCAAGTAGAAAAAACATAAAGTACCTCATATATAACAAAAATACAGACAAAATGAGGTGAAGCACAGCCACAACTTTCTCTCGAGTAGATGTATTGTGTCTTACCTTGGTTTAGGTATGTGAGCGTCTCGTCGTGCAGCTTGACAGCAGGCGAGGTGGCGGCGCACAGCACATACTGGAATGGGGGATTTTTGGTCTCGTTTTCAGGAGGAAGGCTGGAGTCCTCCTGCTTAAAGATTGGCAGAGCCAGCACATCGCTGAAGACACAGAAGAAAGAAAAGAGGCACACAAACACAAAGTCAGGATGGATGTGATGCAGAAGAGACATGCGAGAAAACCACCATTAAAGAAGAGTTGTGCCAGCTTAAAGGTTTTTTTTTTAATCAGTGACAGCTTAATTGGTGCATTTTTCTTGCCTGTGGCCTCTCCGTGTTTTGGCTTATAATTTATTTACAATTCTAAGCTTTCATTGAATCTCCAATACCATGTGGGATCCATCCTGATGACAACATGATCACTGTGACCTCCCTTAAAAGCAAAGAGAAAACGCTGCCTTTATTCCTTAAGACTGGGTGTTCCTGTTTATCCACTTTGAAATGATCTCCAAAAAACACATCAAATTGGGGTCGTGCCATTTAAACTGTTGCACGCTCCGACTTTGGTAAGACAATACTTTACCTCCTCACAGTGTGGAATTATTAAATGGATTGGCTTATTTTAGAATAAGTGACGAAGGCTCTCCATCGATCAAATGGCTCTCTTATTATGTATGCATGAGGCCGCAGCAGGATAAATGAACAAAAACACCCAGAGATAGCCTGAGCTGCTGACACACACTATCTCACACTTGGCAGCCACTCTAGACAACCAACCCGTCTTCAGCTCACCCTGACAAATGCAGTGGGAGTGTCAACGGGTGCACAGTGAACGTAGGGGCCTGTGTGTGTGTGTGTGTGCCTGTGCAGGGTCCTATCCATGCAAAGAAATGCAGATCGTGGCATCTCATTACTTGGAAAACTTTTTGGCACGTCATGATGCTGCTCTAAACCTGAGCCAAACTTTAAAAGAAAAAGAAGAAAAAAAATAAAATAATAATAACTGTTTGACAATTTCAAGATATTCCTGCAGCACCTCTCTCCAAACAATAAAGTCTTCCAAACAACAGCCTGCTACATTAATTCAGCCTCGATCACTTGCTGCTGTGGTTTCTCTGCAGAGTGGATGCCCAGACTGTGCCAACCTGAGTGCCACAGCCCTGTTAAGCCTTGCTACCCAGGAAAACTACATCTGCTTCCTGAAATCTGAGGAGCTGGTTCCACTGACACACACTGAGACATTCTGTTCCTACCAGCTGCTGACTCCAAACATGCCACGCAAACCCACCCCAACACCACACATAGCATACTTCGCCTGGACCCACTGACACCACACACACACAAACACACACAAACATAGACACAGTTTCACTAATTCACTTAGAGGCAATCACTTGTGTATTGGTAAACTTGCTTACTCTCATATAAGACTGGCGCACAGCTACGTCACGCTCAGATAAAAGCAGATGGCAGAGGAGGCCGCTGATAAGACACATGCGTGTCCTGAGACCTTCTTGCCATCATCACACAAATATCATGACCTCGCGTGACCTTTTACATAATACGGGTCACACATACCGAGGGAGACTAATTAAACAGGTGGTTAACGCCAATTGATGATTCCAACACAATCCTTCTTCTTAAATCATTTACCAAAAAAAAATTAAAAAAAAAGACAGATTCAGGACAGGAAGTAGTAGTGACTAACCAGTGGGTCCCTGATTCATGAGATGTCACATTTGGGAAAAATGTTGGAATAACCTGCGTGGACCGGGAACCGTTGGCTTAACCACAAGTCACTGCATTAAAACTTAACATGGAAGAATGTGTGACAGGGCTGCATGTATTCCCTGCAATTTGGGCACAGTGACAAATACTGGTGGTGTAGCTACAAGAGCTGGGTATCATGTTAAATTGTTATACATCAGCTGCAATGAAATACATGTACTGTCGATAGTGATACCAAAACAATGCCGGTCTCGCTGCAGTATGGTACGGGGAATATTAACAAAAAAGGTGGTTTAAAAATGAAAATATAAAGATCTAAAAGTGACAGCTAGAAAGACTCTTGCTGAGGAAGATTGTGAAATTTAAAATGGCGACTTTATCCTTGTTTTCTAAGAATCTGACCAAGCATTTAATACCAAACTTGACACTTTTTGATACATCACAGATTACAGCCAGTAGTCCAAAAGTGTCAAGAGTTGGTGCTGAATGCTTGGCCAGATTCTTCGGTGTGTTTACTTATTCTTTCATCAGACATTTCCACATATAAAGTCAACTTTTCTGACTTTTTTTTTTTTTTTTAAAAAGGGCTAAAACCCTGATTTAACACTGGCAGCGTTTGTTAGAGGTTAGACAAGCTTAACATCATAACGACAGTACAAATGAAAGCAAGAAAAACTCCCTTTACAGAAAAAAAAAAAAAAAAAAAAGGTTGTCAGGTGATTCTTAAGCTGCATGAGAGAGGAAAGAAACACTGAAGCTTCTGCCACTTACACCTCCGAGTCAATTAACCCTTCTAGGACCTTTTCCAGATGAGAAAGAATAAAATCAGACGGATCACCTCGGACACAATGTACAGTCTTTTGTTTCCACACACACACACAGCTGGTCTTCATAAACAAAGCCATAGACTTGTTCTGATAACTCTGCCAGTCTGAGGGGCCACAACAGGGCCGTAACTGCAGACTTCCTTTGTGTTATCTTGAAGTGTTCACAAAGTTTAGGTCTCCCTTGTGGCAACAGAGCCACGATGTGAGTAACAGGACGACCTGAGACAGCCTCACTTATCCCACACGGTGTAACACATGCTCTTCCTTTGCTTCAGTGTGGGTTTAGAGAAATTAATCTTTGTCCCTGATTCGTGGGACCCTGCAATGACTGCCCTACTCCAAATCCCAAAACAAAGAGAAGCCATCACACCCAGTACAAAGACAATAACACACACACACACAAGCAGGGGGATGTAATGTTAACTCTTCCGGATAGAGTGTGTGTTGTTCTCTCCAAACAACCGGGGTTGGCATGTTGACTCTCGTCTCTAACCTCATGCTGTAGGCTCCAGCCCCCAGCTCCTGCCCGATGCCCGACAGGCTGGCATCGAAGTCGTGCACCAGCCCCGACTCAATGGTGGCGTCGTCCATCTTCAGCACCCAGGCCATCGGCCCCAGCTCCTTGTCCTCGGCTTCTACTCGGAGGGCCGCCAGCTTGCTTCAGGTACGAAGAGGTCGGCTAGCGAGGAAGTGGGCTCCGCAGCTTCCGAGTGACACCGCGAGAGGAAAGTTACGCTGCTAGCCCGCTAGCCGCTCCTTGGCAAGCTGGGCAGGCGAATTGGTATGTTTCCACAGAGACTGGGTGTATCGCCATATCTCCACTCGGGGTTGGTTTTATTTTTTTTTTTGGGGTGTTG